TCAAACTTAAAAGAGCCCTTGTTAAGGGCTTCAGAACATACAGAATGGGCATTCTGTCTTGCAGAAGGGAGGGCAAAGTAAAGCAGTGGAAAGCAAGCAAGCAAGATCACTTTCTCACCAAGCTGACTGACTGAACAGTGACAGCACCCTCCGACTTTCTCTCAGGGTCCTGAGGGTCCTACCAGGTTCCCAAAGAGGGTCAGAAACCAAAACTTGTCATTTCAAACATATATGCAGTGATGTCTGAGTAAGCTCTCAACCTCCAAAAACCACCTGAGAGGCTCCTAGGTGTTAGGGGAGTTACTTTAAGGTAAAAAGCTGTAGGATTAGAAGAAATGTGATTGTAAAATTCTGTTTGGCAGTTTAAATGCCATGATTTGAAATCTCACTGCTGAGTTCTTTACCTCAAAATGTGGGTCAAACTTTAGTAGTGCTCAGCATGATTTTCCTTCCTGGAAACTTTTAAAAAGATGGATGACACACTTCTGTCCAAGTTGGTTTGACTAGGAGGAAGAATAAAACTCAAGGCCTCCTCCAGTTTTATATACCCATATAAGCAGAGTTTTTGTTGTTTTCTGCCTGGGATAGTCTCACCCTTCTTACCTGGCAAACTCCACCTCACTCTTTAGGCTCAAGTACAGCCTTCCTAGCTCATTTAAGAATCACGTAAAAACTTTCTCCTTGGTACTCTAAAAACACTGAAATATATTTTCATTAAAAGCACTGCTTTTAAAATGTTAACTACTTTAGGCTTCCATGTCTTACTCATCTTATATACCTTTGACTTACCACTGTGCCTGGCATACTATAAATCACAAAAAAAATGTCAGAGAAAAAAAGTAAATAAAGTTTGATTTGAGGTCATGAACTATAACAAGGATCAATCCCCACCAATAAATTATAGAAGCTTGGTTTTGCGGATCCTATTTTCAAACAATGGTTTTATATCTAAAAACTATCATAGCTCAGTGAGCATTCCATTTGAAATCTCTTAGGGTCACTCAGGTCTCCTTGAGTCAGAAATTACTCAAGAGCCACTAAAAAGAAAATAATACATCTGGCTGTCATATTTTTATATAAAGGCCCCTTTCCCCCCCTAGTTGGACTGTATATGTGTACCATATTTCAATGAGATATCTCTTACAACTTCTCTAATTCACAAAGTAAGAATCATTATTTTCTGTATTTCATATGATTTCTAGAGTGGGAGATCTGGTCTGGTGTGAGAAGGCACCAGGGTTTCAAATGTTTATTCTTCAGTATGTATTCTAGTCAATCTGTTTCTCAAAAAAAAAAAAAAAAAAACTGAAAGAAAAAAATTTGAAGGAAAAAAGCACAATTCATTTGCAAGCCTTGTGCCAGAAAACAATTAAATTTAAGAAATGTATTTCTGGGGGTAGGGAAGTGAGGCAATGTTATAGCAAATGTAGTATGTTCTTTTCTTAAGAACAAAGAAAAAAGGCCATGTGCCATATTTAATAATTATCTTTTTTATGGCATGCCACCAAGGAAATATGACAATAATTAAAAAGAAAAAATATTTAAAACCTACTATCATCAAGTTGATTCAAATTCATAGCAACCCTCCATCAGGATTCCAAGCCTATGAATCTTAACAAGAAACTGCTCATCTTCCTCCCACAGAGTGGATTCTAGCTTCTAATCTTTTGCTTAGCTGCCTAACATGTCATCACCAGTTCCTCTGACCTCCCCAAAAAATGTTAACAGAAATAGGATAATTCAAATTTCATTAAATATTAGGAGGTTAAGGGATCTCTGGTGGTCTGATGGGAAGAAGCTGTGCTACAATCCCGAAGGTATGCAGTTCGAGGCCACCAGCTGCTACATAGGAGGGGTAATCTCCTCTCATGCAATTAACTGCCTCTGAAAAAATGGCAGAGGGACAGCTCTGGGTCATTTCCAACTGGATGGTATATAATAAAATAACGTAAAACATAGAAAATGGCCAAATAATTCAAAGTTCTAAGCGATCATTTAAAACTAGATCTATGTCAAGAAATCTTAAGCAAAACTCTTCATATCATTTCATTTCTTCAACAAATTATAATACATTTTTAACTATACTTCTGAACTTAATGAAAGAAAAACTCTGTCCCCAGAACAGAGAGGAGTGTACAAGGGAAGAATCACTAAAAATATCATTCCTTTATCCTTAAATCACTTATATTCCAGACCCACCAAAAGTGATGAGTTCATTTCAACTCAAAGGCACTTAACAGCAAGGTGGCTAGATCTAGATATATACCAACAAGGAGAGCAGCAAGGCTCTAGTATCAATAAAACATTGTTGGCACGTCCTTACCAATTTCAGAACCAGTTATTTCCCTAAGTCTTCACCTTTCCTAAAGTCTTAACCTTTCAAATTTCCTAAAAAAGGCACTTTGAGGGTGAAAAAGTCTTTACATTTCAAGTTATAAGCACATCTGCCATCTAGATAAGCATCTCAAACAGTCTGGTAGGGTGGACAGAAAAAAATATCAAGATTGCTCTTTCTCAGATTCCGGTTCTGGATAAGTCCTCTTATGCAGCTATTCTTTTCTTTAAATGATTCACCTGTTTTGTGGCTAAGGCTGTTTTATCTCCTCTCTCAACAAGAAGCATGTCCTTGAAGAAAAACTTTCCTGAACCTTCTATTTCCTGCTTAAAACATAGGCTTTATAGGTGATGGTGATGAGCGCCATTCTCTGAGATAAAGCCTAAGATGTTTCCTATTCAAAAAAGTTCAGATCACTTTTCAAATGACGTTGGAACTCATGGTGACTAAAGGGGAAGGGTAACCAGTAGGTTTTCTCTCCTATACAACAGATTCAGTTGCAGTTGCCTAAGCCGCTTGGTTAAGAAAGGCAATGAGGTTCCATTTGGACAAAGTGAAAAGAGTGTATTCTCGTGGAATAGTGAAGTCCGTTGCATGTCCAGGTGAGGAGTATGGTGGGACACATGCACAGTACTTGCCATGTACACTCTAACTACTTAACCATGACCTGAACATACACAAGTTACAGAACCTATCATGGCTTAAGTTCTTTCACTGAAACAGTGGCCAGAGGGACAGGATTAAATGTCTCCAAACATACATTCTCATGTGTAACCTTTATAGAAGAATTTAGTGAAAAATTCTGTTCCCATTTATTCAGACTAAAGGTCAAAATCATGGGCTTTCAATTCTCTCCTCTTCCCACAAAGCCACGTTAGGGACCCTCTGAAAAGGCTGCCAACTTTTCCATAAAAGCAGTGACATCAAAGTTCTTTCCAAAAGCAATCCCAGAATCACTGAAGGCTCTTACCAACTGTGTACTAATCTCTTCTATTTCAGAAGACATGGTGCTCTTTGATTTAAAAAGTTCTCTTTTCTCATCCAAACCACTCTCCTTCCACAAACCCAAACATCAGATACAACTCCAAGAGGAGTGACAAAGCTTAGGAGACTTGGTTTCTGATTTTTCTTCTAATAACATTTAATAAAATCTTACCCCACATCATTTAAACATGATCAGCCTTAACTGAGCATCCTTTCCAGCTAGGGTAAAGAGAAGTCCTACAGCCTCATCAAACGCAAAATTTAAAAAATCCATCCACTCTTCTTTTGATTTGCTTCTAGTAGTATTGTACTCAGCTGGTACATACGCATACAGATGCCTTAACTTTTTTCTACTGCAAAATATCAAATAAGCCTTTTTCATAAGCCTTACCTTTAAAAAGCACATTACACAGTGAAGTTGCATATTATATGTCAATAGTTTGCACATGTAGTTTTATAATCATTTATTACAATTGCAAGACAATTTTTCTCATCAATTTCTATATCCTCAATCATATTTCATTGTTTAGAAGGGCAATTTTATTTAGTATCAGTCAGGTAATAATAAATGTGCCATAACTATACTTCTAACCCCATCTTCAATTTCATCATATTTCTACTTAACTTTTGTCAAACAAAAGCAGTGGCAGACTCACAGGTTGTGGATCCCAATAGACTGAACGCCTATAACTATCATCATTACATCTTTTGTCTGGAAATGAGACATAATTAAAGCTTTTTCATAAAGATGAGGCCTAAACACTCAAAGCTACTATGGATGAATCCATTCCCACTCCAGCAACCTTCCACCAAGTTTTTGGGTTGTTTTTTTTTTTTCTCAGGGGAAAGCGCAAACGCAGTCCCCCACTACCACAAATTACGCAGTCGAGTTTCCCACATTTGGGGAAGTCGCAGGGGTCAGCACATCCGGAGTGCAATGGATAAGCCTCGCCCTGGGAAAACCACCTTCGTGATCATGGTATCTCCCCTGACAGGTAAGTATATCAATCTTTATGTAAGGTGACTAGCCACCATTATCTGAAGGAATAGCTGGTGGATTTTAACCGTAGGCCTTTTGTTTCATAGCCCAACAGGGCTGCTTAAAAGTTACGGGTGCTTTTTAAGTGACTACTTCAAAACAGCCACCACCAAGAAAAATCTTCATTGCTGTTGAGTCAAAACTGACTCACAGCTGACCCTCTATTGGGCTAACAAGGCTGTAAATTGCACAAGAAGTGACTGTCCATCTTTCTCCCACTGAGTTGCTTGTGGATTCAAACCACTAAGAGAGGTGTGGCCTTTGGGTCAGCAGGTGGCTTCATGACATGAAGCTGCACTGCAATCTCCAAGGGACGTGGTTCGATCGAGGCCACCAGCTGCTCCAATAGGGAGGAGGATGAGCAATCTCCTCCAGGGTGATTAACTGCCTCTGAAAACCCACCAGAGGGTCAGCTATGCACGGGTCAGCTCTGACTCCACAGTACACCACACACACACACACACACACACACACACAAACACACACACTTACCTATAGGGTTTCTTAAACTTTAATCTATTTGGGAGGAGACTGCCACATCTCCTCTCCCAAAAAGTCATTGAGAAGATTCAAACCGAAAGTCTTTCGGTTACCATATGAGGGGGTTAGCCACTTAAGCCACTAGGCAAACCACCACCACCAAAATCTTGGACAATAATTAGAATATCGATGTTGGCCCACATTTAAATTACAACAAAACAATGTGTGTTTACATCACCCTTTTATTTCATAGTTAGAAATAATACAATTCCACAGGGTAAATCATCAATAAATAACGGTGTTTAATCATTAAATGTAAAAATCCCAACTCTTTGGCATCTGACAGGATTCTATTTCTTGTCAAACTAATGACTGTATAGATATAGTTAATCTCAGTGATCATTTGTCAATACAATATGTTACAAAGGTGCAATTTACTTTGAAATATACAAAAGCCGAAAATTTCCAGCCTACCAAGAAATCTGATCAACTTGGTAATATATGGGCAAATTTACCCAAGGCTCTTTCACATGGCTTGTCTCAGTGAAAGTATAATAAATGCTGATTAAGAGAGTTCCTAGGGTTTTTCTAATACTTATTCTGCTCTAAATAGAGTTGCCATTCATTTTGGCTAAAGAAAACTCACAATTATACCTGGAAAGACCCACTTATTAATTAAAAGGTGTTTCTATTTCATAAGTGAGATTGCTAATATTAACCTAAGAAACTCACAGCTCTCAGAACAAATTTTAAAATAAGCAGTTCTGTGCTGCCAGAAATGACAATTCAGTAATAAATTGCACCTTTAAGAGTAAAAAAAAAAAAGGGGGGGGGGAAATTTTACAAACTTTTACAAAAGTAAGATACATATGTATTTTTTTTTCCCCCTTCAAAATATAGTCAAGAATAGTTGAGCTGCATTTGTTACTAAAGCCTGGGCATTATTCCTTTAGCAACAAATTAAACCAGTGCAATTGACATAAATTTTTAAGTAATCCAGGATTAACCCATTAAAACTGTAGAAGTACTTGAGGCTCATACACTAATCCTAGAAACTGGAATTTCGATGAGTGCTTGTGCTACACAGAACTAAAACTGGAATGACCCGATGTCATGCTGAGTGGTATCATTTCATACTTAGTTTAAGCATTCGATATAGAAATCATGAGTTCATCTATTAAAGTTCCATTCACTTACAGAACATTCGGATGCAAACAGTATTATGCCTATAATCCACAATTAAAAGAATCCTTTCCATAGTAAAGTTCCAGATGAATTTTAAATTAGAAAATAAGAACTGAGGAAACATTTTCAACTTACGAAAACTTCATATTGGAAACTTTCTGGAAAAGCTTCCCCCCACCCCTACTCATTGTAAAATAAATACTTTGTATCCCAAATTTCATTTTAGTAAGACACATTTTAATAACGCTATAAAGAAATATTTTACAACCATAGAGAAGATCAATAACTTTCCATGCGGAAATAAAAAAATTCATTGCTCAATAATATTACTGAGGCAAGTAAAGAAAGATTATTCTCTTGTCAATCTGAAATGTTAAGTGTTTCTTTTTTTTTCAGTGCAAAACCAGTTATAAAATATTTAAACTCAATATTTAAAAATAAAAAGTGGTCCAATTCAGCAATGTTCAAGTTCTTAATTTCATAAAACAAATCATTACATACATTTCATAGTAAAATACAGAGATTAAAGAAGTACTTGAGTACTTAAGATATAAATTTCTAATGAATCATACCAAGTCAGCAACAACTAAGCAATTACATTCCCGATTTGAGTGTCAGAACCATAAAGACGGTGTTACTGTACCAAAACCTTTTTCTAGCTAAAAAGCTATACAAACTAATAGTTAACATTCTGGTTTTTTTGCAGTTGCGTGCGCTAGAATGATTTTCTCCCAAGTACCTGTAATTTCATTCTTGTATCCAAAATTTGATTCAAACTATTTTTATGTTCCAAGAACACTTAGCTGATATAACCATCTATAATGTGAAGAGTCATGTACAGAGTACAGCAGTGGATTTTTCTAGCCAACTGTAGGCTGACCTAAACTGGTTTACACTTTCTGCCAAGACATTCATGTATTATTCCTAGCAAACACCCGGTCCCCTCTGAGGGTTAGGTGTTGAAGCTGGTACTGTAGCACTTCTGTGTCAGCTGGCTCCTTGATGTTCATTTTATCTAGATTGAGGTAGTCCAGAGATTTGGAGTGAGCCCTCTTACCTTTAAGAAGACAAAGAGGCAGAGGCCCATGGAGGGCTTTATAAGGTTCATAAGGTAAAGATTTAGTGCACTTGTCTCCTGAGCTGGGCATCCGCCTTCGCCTCCTGCCATTGACAGCTGGAATCTCATATGGCTGGTAGTACCTACTTCTGGTTTTATACAAACGAGAGGAACGTGCAAGTCCCGCATCTAGCTGTTTAGAACGCAAGGAAGGCATGGCTTCTCCCTTACTCTCTTCACTTCCTGTGCACTTCTGGGCTAACTTCAGGAGTTCCTCACCCGTTGTGAAGCCAACCAAAAAGTTAGAGTCCATGTGGAGGATCTGGTAGCCTGACACAGTTCGCCGCATAGGGGAGCAGGGTGTGCTGGAGCAGCGGGGTTTCTCCGTCTCAGCCTTCCCTGGAGAGCTGGCCTCAGCCACAGGCAAGGGCAGGGTGGCCAGGGTACTTCTGGATTCTCCATTAATATCTACTTCCATTTTAGGCACCAGTCTGCACACTCCTAAAAGTAAACAAACTTGGATTAGAAAAGTGCCAATGTCCAGAATCTATGGCCAAACTGGATCATTTTAGAAGGCACAGAGAGCATGATGCATGGAATGACACTCGCCTAAAAACCAGAGCAAGCATGAAATGACCACTACTTTGTTTTCAAGAACTCTAAGGCAAGTTAAATTAAGGTCTGAAGTATTTCTTAAAGGCTTAGGTGGTAGAGCAAAGAGAAAAGAACATCATCTTTCTAACTGCTGCATAGCATTCTTTTAAGCAAATTTTATCCTATGGTGTAACATGAAGCAAATTAAACAGATCTTAATACTAAGCAAATAACAATGATCATTTGTGTTTCATAAGCATCCACAAAATAGTTCCAACCTGAAAATGAAAATCCTATTTTCCACATTAATTTAAGATTGACTGCTCAGCTCCTTCTAGCTACATTCTTTTCCAACAGGACTTTAGGGGTAAATAATGAAAATTGACAAATTTTGTAAAAAAAAAAATATTCTATTTAGACATAAAAAATATTTTTATGGGAAGTTCCACAAAAATTCTACAAATGTTCTTTTCTCATATCCACAATAAATTATTTAGACAAAAATATTTTGTGGTATGGAAGCTAAATCTTAAATCCAACAAATCAGGTAATTTTTAACATTAAAGATTGAAAAAGTACCAAATATGATTGTTAATCATAAAATATGCTACCAACTTGACAGTTGTTTTTTAAGTTCTATAATTAAGCCATTCTATCTCTGAAAAATTTAATAAATTTGAGAATAACAGGAGCCTAAAGGATAGAGTGTTGTCCTACCAAGTAACAGGGAGTTCAAATCCCCCAGCTACTCCAAGGGAAAAAGAAAGGAGCAACAAAGATGGGCGATTTCCTCTAGTGCAATTTATAACTTCAAAAAATTTACTACAGATTTTTTTATGAGCAGGTTCCGACTTGAAAGCTGTAAACTGAAAGTTCACTGGTATTGTTCATTAAAATTATCATATGATAAATGCCTATCTACTTCCAAAAGTTCATTGAAAATCCTACGGAACAGTTTTACAGTGTTTACAGTTTTACAGTGTTAACGCATGGGTCACTATCAATGAAGAATTTGATAAATCTGGTTTAATGATATGGAGGAAATGGCACACGTACAGACTTAACATCAAATCCAAAAAGAGCTACCAAGGCAATGAGACTCAAGTGAGACACTGATCTCAGTGTTCTCAAAATGTGACATTCTGTCTGTCCCATCAATGTGTTACATTATCACCAGTGTTAGGATATTAAAAAAGATCGTGAGTAAAGGATACAGCAGTGCTTAAGAGAAAACAAACACCTCAAACCTGTTGTCACTGAAAAGAAAAACTCAAACGCTTGTGCCAAGACTTTGGTGCAAAACAGTTAGCACTTGCACTTAACTCAAACTCATTCTAAAGTTTATGCTAAAAACTCAACTCATTGTTATCAAGTCAGGACCTACTCCTAGCTGACTCTCCAATGGGTTTTCAGAGGCTATATATCACACAGGAGGAAACTGCTTATCTTTCCAATTAAATTTTTTATTTGGTAAAGAATTTTGTAGTAAAATTAGCAGATGCTTAACGGAATTAGAAATTAGTTTACTTCTTGAGAATTACAAAATAGGAAGGTGCTCTATATCTTGGTCTGAACACTGGTTACAATGTTCTATATATAATGACCATAAAAAAAAAAACTGAGCACTACATTTAAGATAAGTGCATTTTATACCAATCTGTGTGTATATAACACCTTGATTTGAAAAAACAAAAATTGATAGAAAAAAATTTGGCATTTCATAAAAATCAAAAGAACTTCCATTACCACCTTACTGCATTCTTTCTCAATTGCTTTCTTTTTTTCGTTTCTGGGGGCGGGGGGGGGGGGGGGGGTGGTGCAGATTTATCAAGCTTACTATTTCTTTTTTATATACATATATTTTTTACAGCATATTCTTCCCGTTTAATTTTTCCCCATTCATTCATTGTTGCACATTTTGCTCACTACCCACCCCTCCCCCACTGTTCATTTTTCTTTGAAAAGAAAAAAAATCTTTCATTGTTATACAATCCCCCCAAGTCCACAGTCTACTTTACTATGCATTTCTTTTTCAGAAATCTTATCATGAAAATAATACCTAATCCTGTATTTTTTAAAACAGTCTCTCCCTCATCTGTTTTAATGCAATATGTATTATTTATCTCCTCTTTTCTTAGGTGTTCCCAAATCCTGATGTCAGTCCCGTTTTACAACAGTGGCACTATGCAGTATTTGTTCTTTTGTGACTGACATATTTCACTCAGCATAATATTCTCCAGGGTCACCAATTTGTGTATTTCACGAGTTCCTTGTTTTTCAACACAGCATAATATTCCATTGTGTGAATATACCACAACTTCACTATCCTTTCGTTTGTTGATGGGCACTTGGGTTGTTTCCAACTCTTTGCTACTGTGAACAAAGCCTCAATAGACATGCGTGTGCATATATCTGCTTGGGTCAAAGATCTGGTTTCTTTAGGGTATATTCTCAGTAGTGGAACTGCTGGGTCAAATGGTATTTGTATTTCCAACTTTTTGAGAAAGCACCATACTGCCTTCCACAGTAGTTGCACCATTTTACATTTCCACTCCACAACCTCTCCAGCCTGTTGTTTGCTTTTCTGTGAATTTTGCTACTCTTACTGTAGATGATATCTCATAGTTGTTTTGAATTCCCATCAACTCTGAAACTGAGAAATAGTCAAACAGAAGCTAAGCTAAAAATGTTCAATTTTTACCTATGAGGGAAAAATTCCTTAGCAACAGTACAAAAAAAGTTTAGTTTATATGATTAGCAGGTTAAGTTTGTTCCCACACCAAGAAAATCCTGCTGACATTCAGAAATTCTCAGAAAACTAGGGACTAGAAGATAAAAGATTGGTGGGGAAAAGGTTTGAGAGGAACAGACAGAAATAAAAAAATCATTATCTAGGAAACTAGAAAAGTTAAGAAAACAGGTGGAGAAAATATATATAAAAGTCAAAATCTGGATTGACATCAAAGAATCAATACTGTTAGATGAGTAGAAATGATCTATCTTCTTCCATTAAAGAGATCTGTAATCACAAATGGTTTAGAGATCACTTGCTAACACATTTAACCGAAAAGTTAGTTCAAAACTTTCCAACTCTGTGAGAAAAAGACTTGGTGACCTGCTTTTCTAAAAGATTACAGCCTAGAAACCGAATGGAGCAGTTCACAGGAGGTCACTGTGAGGCAAAAAGGCCTTGACAGCACATTAACAACATCTTCAGTTAAGCCTCCAGAACCAATAACATCATGACAAATTATCCAACAATTCTGGTAGATTTCTTCGAGAAGATTATCAGGCATCTACCTATCAATTAAACAACAATTTAACCTAGTTTTCTAAGTAGGAGAGAGATGTGATTTAATAGCTCTAGTAATTCAACCATGCAGCCTGGTGTAAGGAAATTACCCACACTTTGCTGAGGCAGACAACATACTTCCTAGAGAAAATACTCATAAGCCAGAAAGAGAGGGAGTCATGTCTGATACCCTTTATTACAAATATGTAACCTACCAACAAAGGCTGATGAAAAAGTCAATTCTCTACATAAAATTTCAATACTAGAGTTTCTGAGATAATACCCAGACAGGCTGATTTTAAATATTACATACACAACTGCTACCACTTATTTTCTGAGGAGTAATTCTATGAACTGCAATCGTTTGTACTTTCTAGTTATAAAATACCAGTACTTAAGTGTCAATAAACAAATATTGTATTTTTAGGTCCTGTTATTAGTTTTTACTGTGTACTATCATATACAAGACTATCTTATACATATGTAAAATGTCTTTTAGTTAGCTGAGAAATTCTGCAATGGAAAAAAAGCACACATCCATGTTAAATTATGTTGACAATATGTTGACTTTGAAACCATGTAATCTTTATAGTTTTAGTACTAACTTTTAAAAACTGATTTCTGGAATTAGAAGGTCTTGCTATTTGAGTGGGAACTGTTGTTTGTTGTTAAGTGCCATCAAGTAGCTTGCGACTGACAGAAACCCTATGTACAACAGTTCTGAATCCTGCTCTATCTTGAGACCTCAATGTCTCTGACACATGTATCCCCCATTACCCCAGTCACTGAGTCAATCCATCTCCTTGAGGGCCCGCCTCTCTTGTGCTGTCTCTCCCTCCCAAGCAAGACATCCTTGTCCAAGGACTGGTCCTGCCTTGCAACAAGTCCAAAGTATATCAGATGAAGCTTCATAATCCTTGCCTCCAAAGAGCAGCCTGGTCTCACTCTCTCTAGGATGAAACTGTTTGATAGGAATAAGAGCAGCAAGGAGTCTCCACTGGCATATAATTTCTTTTTAGTCTGTGGAATGTTGACTAAGCAGAATTCTCTGATATTTCAGAGTGACAGGAAACAAACCTTTCTATGTTATTAAATCGTTGATAATTTGTGGGCAAAATTAATAAGCATTAGAACAAGACCTCAAAGGAGTAACAGAACAATTTCTCAGGTTAGCTCTTAAATGAACACAAGGGGTCCAGGTACTGCTTCATCTGGAAAGAAGGAAGTCTGTTGTTGTTATATATCCAGTCGATTACAATTTGTGTCAACCACCTGAACAAGAGACCAGAACCTTGCTCTATCCCGCACCACTGTGCATGTCATCTCCTTGTTCAAGTCCATTGCTGCAATGACTTTTATCACTTTTAAAAGCTGACACGTTTTACAAACCCTCCCCCAGGTCCCCTCCACCATGTAGCCCTCGCTCTAGACTCCTGTGATGACAGAAGTACCTAGTCATATATCTCTTTTAAACAGTTTTCTCCCTCCTCTGTTTCAGTGCAGTATACATTATTGAACCCATCTTACTCAGTCTCTCCCCAACCCCAAGGACAGTCCCATTCTACAACAGTGGCATCATGTAATATTTGTCCTTTTGTGACCAGGATATTTCACT